TGACATGGGCCCCGAGCCCTCCGCGCCGACGGGCGGGAGCTCGAGTTTTGCAGTGCGGTGTCGAGGCTTGCTCTGCCCTGTAAACCGCAATCCCCTGGCAGGCGCACCCCTGGGAGGCTACAGTAGAAGCTCGACTACCAAGAACCCTCCACGAGCACCCCAGCCCTGAGAGATCCCGGGACGCCCATTGATGTCTGGTGTGGGAGTGTCACGCTCTCTATAGCGAAACCATCGAAACCCGAGAAACCAAGGGCACCCTGGAGGCACGCAGGGTCTCTCTTGGCATGGGTCTCCACTGTAGGAGCTGCGGGCCTCGGGGCTTGTTTGCGCCGACTCGACAGCCTCCTCCACCTCCTCCTCCTCCTCCTCCCTCCTCCTCCCTCCTCCCTCCTCCCTCCTCCCTCCTCCACCTTCCTCCTCCTCCCTCCTCCTCCTCCTCCTCCTCCTCCTCCTCCTCCCGAGTCCTTCGCGCCGACGGGCGGGAATTGGTGCCCGTCGCCGCGGGGGGTGGCCGCGCCCACCGCGTCGTGGTCCCCGCGCGGCTCGCCGTCGCTGCCGCGCCGGGTGGTCCACTCCTCGCGTTGAGCAGGGACCGACCGTCCCGGCATTCCTATAGTCCTACCACGACATGCTCTTAGAACACAGAAATGCTCTGATAACAAAGCCAATGCTCTTAGAACAGCAACCCGAGGTGCTAAAACGAGACAATCTCAGCCAGGCATGTTCTAAGAACATGCCGTGGAAACCACACAAGGTCCCTAGAGCATTGTTTGGTAGGCCTCTAGGCGAGCCAGGGCGCTTCGCCACTGCTTGATTGATCGCGGGGAGGAGGGCCGGCCGGCCACCCATTTGAGCACGGGGCCCGCCGTCCCAGGACTTCAGAAAGGCCTACCATGGGACGTGCAAGGACTCGCGGTGGACCCGCAGCAGAGAGGACGCGCGGTGAGGATGCAAGGGCCTCGGATAGGGGAACAGAAAGTGGCATAGACATAACAACTCGGAGGTCCTCGCGGATTTCTCGGATCGGCGCTGGACCCCCCTCCCTGGCGCGCGGAGCGCGCCAGGGGCGGCGCTGGAGGCGCCGCCGGGGGGGGGGGGCCAGCGCGGATCCGAGAAATCCGCGCGGACCTCCGAGTTTTGACGTTTGTGTCACTTCCTGTTCCCCTATTGGAGGGCCACGTTAAAAATGTTCAAACGAGGTTGGCAAGCGAGAGTCGCCAAGGATAGGCCGAAGGGGCAAGGATGCAAGGATACCCTTTGGGAAGGTTGCCCGTCCTGACTACGTCCTTACTGTGCGGGTTGACTGTACCATGGGACGTGCAAGGGCATACGGTAGATAGATTCGTGAGGCGCCGGCAGGCGCAACGGTTCTCGACAACGCGTCGATCGCGCAGCCTTGAATTCATCGCGGCCCCGATCGTTCGAGGCTGGATTCCGTCGGGTCCACTGTCATCACCGCGTCCACCGGTGCTTCCGCGTCAAAGAATTCAACCTTGAACGCCTTCGCTGGCGTCGCCAGCGCGCCATCGCCACACGAACCTACCGTAGCACTATGTGTCCTGTTTGGAGGTGTGCGTCCGACCCGAGCACGTAGTACAGTCAACCCGTACAGCGAAGAAGCGCGGTAAGGATGCAGGGGTCTTGGAAGGCGATGCCGACACCCTGCGAACGGGGCGCGGCCAGCGAGCGCTGCCAAGGATGAACCGAGGAGGCAAGGATGCAAGGATACCCTTGGCAGGGTTGCCCATCCTTCTACTCCAGGTTGACTGCACAACCATCTGGTAGCATATCGTTTCCCGAGCGGTCTGGCCGGAAGGCACCCGCCATGGAGCGCACATCATCAGATTTCTCGCCGCGCGGGCGCGGAGTCCCCTGGCACGGCGACGCACACGCACAGTATTAGCGCGTTGGGATGAGGCCTACATCACAGGGGATTTTGGGCGCAAAACGAGACATGCTCAGACATACCCACCAAATTTGAACAAATAGTTTAACAAAAAAACGTCCCCTGACTATTTGTTCTATTTTTGAATACTCCTCCTTTAGGGAGACAGGCCCGACTAAACTATAATGGCGAGCCGGGACACTGCTCGACCTCTGGCCAGCCCTGCCTGGGGCAATCCTGTTCGGTGGCAACCTGTGGAAGCCTCCCATGCTACAGCAGGCCCATATCATAAGGATGCGCGATAAAGATGCAAAGGCTTAAGTCGGGCGTGTCTTCCTACAGGGGGATTTTCGACGAAAAATGCAAAATACTTTAAACAGACTCCAAAATGATAAGACAAAATTCAAAGAATGGTCCCCCTACTATTTTTTGACTATTTTTGGATATTCTCCCTGTAGAGGGACAGGCCCGACTTAGCAAAGGCCTTGGACGCCCATTTCGAAGCTTCTCGAGCGGAGCGCGGCCAACGAAAGTGGCCAAGGATGGGCCGAGGAGGCAAGGATGCAAGGGTACCCTTGGGAAAGATGTCAGTCCTTGTAATGCGGATTGGATTGACTCTATCTTGCCGGCTGATGCGAACCAACGCTCGCCGACGCTACTCGACGCTGAATCGACGCTGACCAACGCTCTAACTATGCGCTCTCTCATCGGATGACAGACGCCAGCGCACGCTAGCGCTAGCGCGCTCCAAGACTAGGATTGCGAGGACAAATAAGGCTCCAATGACTTCCTACCAGAATGGCCGATCCTGGCTGAGCGCGCCCTGGACTCAACACAGACCTCACCACGGTGTTCAAAAGTAGGCGGCGGCAAATATCCAGACAATTTTGGGCGGCGGGAAATGAAGAGGGGGCGGGCCTTCTCAGAAGGCTCAGAAGTCCCCCTGCCGTCTGAGAACTGCTCTGAACCTTCCCCAAGATACAGAACACTTTTCAGAAGGCCGGAGGCCTTCTGAGCCGCCTTCTGAGAAGGCCTGGGCCTTCCCCGCCTCACCTCCCCCCCCTCGCTCGCCGCCGAACGCCTAGGCGGCGGAAAATGTCCCGGCAATCTATCCCGAGCCCCTGGTGGCCCGCACTGGGCCTCGAGGCCGCCCACGGAGATCCTCGGGGCGGAGTGCGCCTCCCCCGGGAGGGGCCCAGGCCTCTGGAGAGAGCCGCGCCCCGAAGAGCCGGCGGCATCGGACGTCTGCGAAGGTCGGTGGCGGGTCGGCACAGCGGCAGGTCGAAATCGGTCCTATGGACCCCTCTGCGAAGCCCCAACGGACCAGCTTCCCGAGCTGCGTCTGGCCGCCGTGGCGACGAGGGGGGCCCCCGGAGGCCAAGCACCGCTGTCTCGACTCGGCTCTGAGAGAGAGCAGTCTCCTTCTCGCTTCCCCCCCTCGCTCGCAGCCGAGTTGGTGTGCCCAAGGCTCCGGGTCGCTCGAGAAGTCGCCGGCGGCGGCCTGCTTCTGCGGAGCGCCGTGCAACGTCGCGGTCAGGCTGGCCGGGGGGCGCCAAGCAGCCCCGGGCACTGCTGCGTGGCGGCGCGGCCACCAACCAGTGCGGCCGTCTTCCCGTTTCGAAAGCCACGAACTGTGTGTATACTTATGTGTATATAAATATGTTTATCTATGTATATATATAGATATATGGCACCACGTAGGTTCTGGGCGCCGTACTTGACTTGCTTAGCCTCGTCGCCCCGCGCGAGGCCGCGACTGTCAAACAATAGTATGTAACGATATACATATATATACACATGTGTATACACAATCATGATCGCGTCGTGAATTCAAAAACACGGAAAATGCTGTGCCGTTCTCTGACTCTGAAACCCTTGCTGGGCCCCAAGACCGTCAAACAACGACTCAGGATGAGAAGCCGGTCAGGTGGAAAGGGTCGGGACTTCCGGGGACCGCGGCTCGAACAAAATCAGGGCATCGCATGACATATCTGGGTTTCGAATTCTACTAAGTAGTAGTATGAATATCTGTGTATACATATATAAACATATATATATATATACATATTTGCATGCATATGTTTAACCAACGTCTGCAAGGCAACGTTCGTCAAAGCAGCTCCGAAAAACGTGTCGGCCAAGTGGGCTTGTGAACTTATGCTCGCTGTCTAACCTGCCCCTGAGGGTCTACTGTTTGGGGGTTAGCTGTAATGCTGGGGACGGGCCCTCAGGCAGTCTGCAGCTCCCTGTGACGTGGGACTTGCATATACGTAGCACCTCGCAATTGCGGGTAAGAGTGAGGGAGCGGCGAGGACGTCGGCAGTCTGCGAGGCTCTGAAGAAGCCCGCCGCAGGCGCCGAACTTTCACAAACTTATGCAGTGAGCCCGCCGCAGGCGCCGATTTTTCGTTGCAATGTGGGTGGTTTGCGGGGTGAGTCGCGGGTGGTTCCCAGGTGGGTCGCGGGTGGGTCGCAGGTTGGGTCGCGGGTGGGTCGCAGGTGGGTCCCAGGTGGGTCGCGGGTGGGTCGCAGGTGGGTCGCGAATGGGTCGCTGGTAGGTCGCGGATGGGTCCTGAGTGGGTCGCGGGTGGGTCGCGGGGGGACGACGACAAGAAACAACACCAACAGTTAAACAACCAACAATAACAACAATCATTTCAAGACTGTTCGCTCCTATCTGCTCGCGTGCCATTCAATATCTGTATACCAAACCCTCGATACCCACCCTCTCCGTCTTCGATCATATTCCCTTGGGAGCATATCGTTCTTACCTGCAACGTGCATGTCGTGCAGCACCTAAGGCAGGGGAAAAGAGGACGGATGGAGGGAAGGGACAAGGGGGAGAGAGGAGGATGGAGCAGAACACACGGGCAGATCGGGCGGGTGGACCCCAGGTGGGTTGCTGAAGCGTGCGTCCTGCATGAATCGCTAGGAAGACTTGAACGACAGCGCGATTCCAAAATTCGCCGGCCCAACGGGCCAAGGGCGTGCGAAGATCGCCGGTAACTGGTTAACAATATTCTAGTTCGCGCGCGCGGGGCCGCCCCTGGGGGTCCCCGGACGAAAGTACCCCAGGACACCCCCGGGACATCCCAAGGACACTCGGATCAGAGATGCCAGACCCGGCAATGTTTCGACACCCCTCACGAAGATCGTGGCCTCCGAGGGGAGGGGCGCAATCGACTACCCCCCCTCCTGACCCAAGAGGTCATCAAGAATGCCCAAGAGGCCCCAGAGACGTCCAAAAAGCACTCCAAGGCGCCGATGATGACCCCAAGACGGCCCAAGAGGCCTCCAAGTGGCCTCCAAGAGGCCTCACGAGAGGACCCGAGAGGCCAAAATCATAAATTGTACTATGGTTTTTGGAAGGATTTGGGCCTTGTCGCCGTTTCGGCCGTCCGATGCTCCAAGACGGGCCAAGAGGCCCCAAGAGCGCCCCAAGACGGGCAAAGAGTCTTCCAAGAGGGCCCCAAGAGGGCCACGAGACGGCCAAAGAGGCGCCCAAGACGGCCTCAAGAGGGGCCCAAGAGGGGGACCACGGACCGAAAACTCGAGCCTTCCGCCCCAAGAGGGCCACAGGAGGCCCCGAGAGGCCCCCAAGAGGCCCCAGGAGGCCCCAAGAGGCCCCCGAGAGGCCCAAGAGGCCCCAAGAGGCCCCCAAGAGGCCCCAGGAGGCCCAAAAGAGGCTCCAGAAGTTCAAAAATGCCTCCCAGGCGCCTCCGAACGGCTTCTCGAAAGACCGCAAGAGGCCTCCCAAAGAAGCATCTTGACAATGACCCTGTTTGGCCACAAGAGCAACACAAGATGACAACGAAAGGCTTCCTCCTCCGCCCCTTCCCCTTCCTCCTCCTCCTCCTCCTCCTCCTGCTACTTATCTTCATCCTCCTCCTCTCCTTCTCATCCTCTCCTCCTCCTCCCCTCCCCTTCCCCATCCTCATCTTCCTCCTCCTCCTCCTCCTCCTCCTCCTCCTCGGCGGCGCCACAATGGCCCCGGGCCCACGGCGAAGCAGTAGCGACCATGCAACATGGGTCGGCGGAATGAGCGAAGCGATTGAATAAATCTCGTGAGGGGATCCAGAGCGAGAGCGTGATTCCTGAGTGTCGAGGGCGCGGCGACTGAATCAATTGCGAGGCAGTCCCAAGCGACAGCGCGTTTCCTGAGTGTCAGGCGAGAGCGCGATTCTTGGATACATTGCAAGGGAGTCCCTAGCGAGAGCGCGATTCTTCAATCAATTGCCAGGAAGTATCAAGCGGGAACCGTTGTTGTTGCAAACCGGGGGCCAGGGGCACAGTTTGAGCAGGAAGACCTTGCCTGACGCAAACACATCGAGTCCTGGGAGGGGCACTTCAATTAACAAGAAACGTATGTTACGCGACTGCGTGAGTCCTGCATAGTTCGCCAGGACGTCTCGGGCAAGAACGCTATTCTTAAGTAAATGATGACGGAGTCCCAAGCAAGAGCGCGATTCCTGATTGGCGAAGGCGTGGCGCCTGAAACAAAATTAGAAGTATCAAGCGAGAACGCGGTTTTTGATAAATTGCAAGGAAGTCCAACGCGAGAACGCGATCCTTCAATAATTTGAAAAGAACTATCAAGCGGAAGCCGCTGTTGTTGTGGTCCCGGGGACAGGGACGCACTTTGAGGAGGAAAACTTCCCTGTTCAAAAAACAGGGTTCGAGCCCAGAGAGGGGCACTTCAATTGAAAAACACATGTTACACGAAAGGGGGTCAACACTAACTATTTCCAAGAGTGAGAATTTAATAATAATAACAACAACAACAACAGCAACAGCAACAACAATGATAACAACGAGATGAAGCCGGCTGCCGGGTGCCTGGTCCCCAAGGCTTCTGCTGGCCGGCTTTCCAGAGGGGGCAAACCCGGCTACCGGCCCCCCCCGGAACAACGAACAACATAACAACACAATAACGCCAGGAAGCGAAGCAAAATTAGCCTGACCGGACCCAACCGTATGCAGCTGCGAGTGCCGCATTGTTGGTACCGCTTTCGGTGGAGCTCCCTATGGGGCCACGAAGAGTGCGAGGGGTGGGCCGAAATCGGTGGCGCGGACGCATGCGGACCCTGCCACTGGAGCCTTCGGTGGAGCTCCCTATGGGGCCACGAAGCGCTGTCCTGGGTGGCGTTGGCGCATGCGGACCCTGCCACTGGAGCCTTCGGTGGAGCCCCCTATGGGGCCACGCAACGGTGTCCTTGGTGGCGGTGGCGCATGCGGACCCTGCCACCAGAACCTGCGGTGGAGCTCCCTATGGGGCCACGAGGCGCTGCCCTGGGTGGCGGTGACGCATGCGGACCCTGCCTCTGGAGCCTTCGGCAAAGCTCCCTATGGGTCAACGAAACGCTGTCCTGGGTGGCGGTGACGCATGCGGACCCTGCCACTGGAGCCTTCGGTGGAGCTCCCTATGGGGCCACGAAGCGCTGTCCTGGGTGGCGGTGGCGCATGCGAACCCTGCCACTGGAGCCTTCGGTGGAACTCCCTATGGGGCCACGCAACGCTGTCCGGGGTGGCGGTGACGCATGGGCCACGAAACGCTGTCCTGGGTGGCGGTGACGCATGCGGACCCTGCCACTGGAGCCTTCGGTGGAGCTCCCTATGGGGCCACGCATCGCTGTCCTGGGTGTCGGCGACGCATGCGGACCCTGCCACTGAAGCCTTCGGTGGGGCTCCCTATGGGTCCACGAAGCGCTGCCCTGGGTGGCGGTGACGCATGCGGACTCTGCCACTGCAACCTTCGGCGAAGCTCCCTATGGGTCCCCGAAGCGCTGCCCTGGGTGGCGGTGACGCATGCGGACCCTGCCACTGGAACTTTCGGCGAAGCTCCCTATGGAACCACGAAACGCTGTCCTGGGTGGCGGTGACGCATGCGGACCCTGTTACTTGAGCCTTCGGTGGAGCTCCCTATGGGGCCACGAAGCGTTGTCCTGGGTGGCGGTGACGCATACAGACCTTGTTACTGGAGCCTTCGGTGGAGCTCCCTATGGGGCCACGCAACGCTGTCCGGGGTGGCGGTGACGCATGCGGACCCTGCCACTGGAGCCTTCGGTGGGGCTCCCTATGGGTCCACGAGGCGCTGCCATGGGTGGCGGTGACGCATGCGGACCCTGCCACTGGAGCCTTCGGTGGAGCTCCCGATGGGGCCACGAACCGCGTGAAGGGTGTCCCGTAATGGGTGGCGGTAACGCATGAGGACGCAACCACTGGGGCGTTCGGTGGAACTCTCTATGGGGCCACGAACCGTGTGAAGGGTGTGCCGAACTGGGTGGCGGTGACGCATGCGGACGCAACCAACGGGGCCTTCGGTGGAGCTCCATATGGGGCCACGAACCGTGTGAGGGGTGTGCCGAACTGATGCGAACTGATGATGATGATGGTGATGATGATGGTGATGGTGATGGTGATGGTGATGATGATGATGATGATGATGATGATGATGATGGCGATGATGATGGTGATGCTAGTGATGGGGAGAGGGAAGGGGGGGCAGCGGGAGGAAGGACGCGGGCGCTGTCTGTTCAAAA